TACATACATACATACATACATACATACATACATACATACATACATACATACATACATACATACATACATACATACATACATACATACATACATACATACATACATACATACATACATACATACATACATACATACATACATACATACATACATACATACATACATACATACATACATACATACATACATACATACATACATACATACATACATACATACATACATACATACATACATACATACATACATACATACATACATACATACATACATACATACATACATACATACATACATACATACATACATACATACATACATACAAACATTCATACAATATTCAGTGTTCAAAGACAAGTAATATTCAACACCAACTCCTCACAAACATATTCAGAAAAATCTTCTCACAGTATCTTGTACCAAATTTAGTATTCTTATAAAGTTCAATGATGGAAAACATTTTTAAAATTATTAAATATTGAATTAACAATCACAGAATCCTAATTGATTCAGAAACACATTAAATGCTATGTTTCATACAAGACAAGACTTTGCTTACCTGGAGATTGGTGAAGAAGAGAGGGTAGAGCACTTCTAAAGTGCCCTGAGACTCCTCAGGGAAGCACAGGATAAAGTTTCCGCAAGCTACACATGCCGCTGATAGGATAAAGAATCTATGGTTATTTGGCATTACCTAATATGATTGCTCAGATAAAAACTATAATGATAATAAAATATGCAAAATGACTATATAAATATATTTAACTGATATGAAATAATATAGCATAATAATATAAAACAATTAAAAATGACCTTATGTACTTTATTGAATCTAAAATGTCACATGACCCACCCTACTCCTTATTACAGACCCTTCAATATTCTTACCATCTCTGACAGGCCATGAGTCATCACTGAAGCATACAGTGAGAGCATGGAGCAAATCAGGCACATGGGCTCGCACAGCACTTCGAGCTATCTTCAGGGCCAATTCTGCAATGCATGCACAAGCTGCCTCACGTACTGCATGATTGTCTGCTTCTGTTGCTTCAATGTAGTAGGCAACCTGCATGGAAAACCTCGTCACAAATATATTCTCATGCTGGGCATCCTACTTATCAAAGTCATATATATTACAGTATTTGATGAAATATGATGACCATAACAGTAAACTGGGCAAAAAAATTGGTATTCCTAAAATTATATTTATCTACATGGTCATTTTTGCCCACAATATATGCACAACAATACAGCATTTCTTTATATATTCGTACCACAGGATCAATGTATTTCTCCACCAGGGCTTTACCCTCTGAACCAGCCACCTGACGCCAAGTTTCCTGTGAATGGAGCCTCACTCCTTCCGCGACATAATACCTGGAAAATTATATTGAAAACTGTTATTTATTCCTGATACTTCAAAGCGAGGAACTATAGCAGGTATTTTATAAATATAACAAGAGAGTTATATATGAATTCCTCTTCTCTCTGTTAGCTGAAAAATTGAAAATAAATACAGACACTTGGCAAACAAATTTTCAGAAATGGAATGAACATATTCTTTTAAGGAACTAAGGATGATAATAATCCCCTTCCTTATCTGTTATCAAGGCTATCTACTAAGCTCCAAATATTTGCTCTTGTAGATTATAATTCTGTCAACAAATTTCTGTCAAAAGATGTTTGCAATAATTGGGTTCATATGCCTGTCTGTTTTCCATGCCTTTAACCTAAAAATGTAAAGTCACCGTAAGTATTCACGGGTGACCAGCTACATTTTCCCTAGCATTAATGGTGCATGACTTGACACTCAGTTTAGATGCATATTATGTTCACATGCATTGCAACTGTCATGGTTTATGTTTTGCGATTGACAGACCTTTTTCACAGCTTTTGCTTAAATTTAAGTTCTCGAATTTGGTTCACTTTTGCTCCCTCTGTTAACATATTTGTGGGTTCACTTGTTACCAAAAAGAAATTGTATCAGTAAAATTCAACAAGTAGCTTTGTAGTATATGGTTAACCTACTAGTGCCAGATAACTCCACCAGATCCAAATGTCATATGGCAAGTATCCATGCCACATGTGGTTGAGCTTATTTTCACTTTCTGAACTCACTTCCTGAAAAACTGTACACTTCCGGCAAAAGCACACAGAACAGGAAGAATATATATTTTCCAAGCTTCTATATCACATCATAAATGGGTTAAAATATACATGATCTTGCCATAATTTCCTATCTAAGAGCAACTGCATTAATTCACCACAGTTATAAAATAATGATAATATATGTTACATAAATGATAACCAAATATATTCATCTACATCTTTTATAAAATACAAAGAAATGTAATATTTCCATATTTCACATTTGGAATCAGAGTATCAACTTGAAAATTAATTCTGCTTTAACATTCATTTAAATTTATCCTATGCATATTCTTGAGAATGTCAGTGTGATATATGTTATAAATATCATGATTACAATATCAGAAAATATCCAGATTTGTCGAGGTCACACACAAGACCAGGTTTTCTCCATGGCATTCCAAATCTGAAAACCAGTCATAAATGAAACACACGTGTGCATGCGTACACATACATGCATACACACAGGTACACACAAACATACAAACATACAAACGCACAAACACACACACACAAAAATAATGAAATTTTGTGTTTACCTTACTCACAAGAGGTAAGATTTCAAATAAATTTTGGAAAGGCTAAGTTGTGCCTCAGATGCTGTCCAGCCTGTTTATGTCTATGTTTATGTCTGGTCTTTCCAGGCACCATGACAGAGGCTCATGAAGTGATTTGTGCCAATGTCAGTAGCATTTTTGCCATGACGTGGTAGGATGTCATCTGGCATGAATGAGTTAAAACCTAGAGTACATCATGGTTCAGGAATTCATGTGCACAAAAGACAAGATATATTAATTTGTTCTGTCTATCTCAATCCAAAGCTGACGAGCACGACATGTACAAAGAGGGCTACACTTGTATTAAGTCACCAATGAGCCAATTAGAAGTACTGCCTGTCTCACGTGTTTACCCTTTTCCTTGTTTTTCGAAGATATTTTACATTTTCTTATATTGCTGTTACTAATGTTATATAGTAATTACAATGTCTATAATAAAAATATCACCATTGATATTCATAGCATTAGTGAATAAAAATTTCCTGCCAATTCAAGGAAATGTGAAATCAGGCAAGGTCACAATGTATACTAATTGACTCCTTTGTGGCTAAGCACTAGCAGAGCCATCTATGTGCTGAGACATTTCACATAAAGAAAATAAGCACAGCATTTTCCCCACAGCACTGAGTTAACGCCTAATTATCTTTATGCTTTTTTGCTATGGTTTGTCTACAGTGCACACATACTATACCTGAGAACTACTGCACTTTGTCCTTTATAGGTAAAAAAAATATATACATCAGTGTGATTTGTGATAATTAAATATCACTGAAATATTCCATATAAGTTTGACTTTCTATTCTTATAAAATGTGTAATCTTTCGTCTCAGCTGTAATTTACTTCCTGTAAGTACTGAACCTTCATTATAGAATAGTATCTTAAATGATTTTCTACAATAATCTATTATAATCTTTATAAAGCATTCTCTATCTTCTTATGAGAGGGTGTTGTCTCTTGAATACAGACAGTATGCAGAACATTTATAATATAATGCAATATATATAATTAGCAGTATAAACATACAAATATATACAAAGGACATACTGTGAATACATAAATTCATGTATGTATACATACATACACACATTTACATACATAGAAACATACATACATACATACACACATAAATACATACTATTGGTGTAGACTTTTTTCAGCCATTTTTTTTCATATCATTACTGGCAAGATGGAAATATGGCCACTACTCTTAATTTTATATTCTACAAATAGGTGATTCTAGACAAAGTCCTTTTTGTTGAGTCAAAGTCATAAGTTCATTATATTTGAAGGTTATAATTTACAGACATCCGATATATGACATATATGGAAGAACACAAGCAGCATTACAATTATCAGCTCACATCTTATATCAGAGTAACAGTATCAGCTGAAGAATGAGTAGCAGTATTCGTCCTGACCTACACTATATGTGAGTTAGCATATCTCTAATAGCTACATATATACACATAGGCAGGCTTCTTCTCATAAAAAAAATTAAGAAAATTATATTCACTTCATTCAATTCTATTTAATATTCTGATAAAATTTCTGCATATCATGTCACTCATTAACTGCAAATAAACACACAAAGACGGAAGTGAAAGGAAATTAAAAGTTTATATAAAAATAAGATCTGATAAAAAGACACGCTTGCTAATAGTTGCATAATGGTTAGGGATAATGAACTACAAGCATTTATGACATAAAATATCATAAAACCCAAAAATAAAATAAATAAATAAACAAAGGGAAAAATGCAAAGTTGCTGCACAATTTGAATAATCTGAGGAATAAACTCCAGACGTATATGCTTCGAGCTGTGTTTTCTATAAGACTTCTTTACCTCTGGCAATATACTCATTCACCTACTGCCTATGCAAGGGACAACTATATGAGCAATTAGGGGTACCAGATCTCCATTAGCTAAGCTTCTTTACCTGGTTCAAATTGTTTAAGGCAATGAGAAGCAAGAGTGCATGATCTTATAAATTTGTTAATTTTTACTGTGAAAATAAAACAAAGAAACATTTCAAAATCTTTTATACTGAATGCATCTACTATTTTTTGAAAGCATACAAAAATATTGAAACAATATGAAATTTATAAAGAAAAAAAAAAATTGCAACAAAGGATAAACAATGCACACAGGCAAATCAGCAACACTTTTAAAAAGCTGTGAATCATAGTAAATTATGGTCTTTCCTATTTCCCTGCACTCTGACCAAAAATTATCAAGGATCTGTGTTTTCTTTCCTATTTAATAACAGATCAAACATGTGAAGGAAACATCATTATTATTTATTTTTTATATGAATTGTATTATTTCATTTCCATTCAGCCTTTGGTTACTTTTCATTTTTAATAAGCTACAACCAGTGACTACATCTTATGGGCAGTGATAATTGTACATATTGGCTTAATACAGAGGCTTTGTGTGAAGCATTCTTTGTAGAAATCAAGGTTTGCATAAATTAACACCTTCATACATCCACCCAAGGATACAATTACACAACCACACAAACAAATCCAGCCACATGCATTGCAACACACAAAGAGCAAATTACAACAAGCACTGACCTATTAAGGCACAGTCTGGGAAGCAGGACAGGGAAGAACCTCTCTCTGGCAGCTGCTGGGAGTGACATCAGGAACTTCCGTGTTGCAACGGATGAAGCTAAGCGTACCTGTAGGGAGTGAGGAGGATTTGCCACTGACAGTTAAATGAAAAATATGTTCAAATGCCAAAGTTAAAAAGCATTATCAATCAACCCCCACAGTTCTATTTACTGCAATGCTGGCTTTCTATACAACATGCAGCCTGCACTATCTGCCACAATCATCCACAGCCTTTAAAAAACAGTTTGTTTTTTTCTAGCAACTCTGTCATTATTAATGTGATATATTTAGTGACCACTAATATATCTAGTACTAAGAATGAACCATATTCATGTTGACAAATGTAGAAGAGGTATGAATGAGAATGAATATCTTCACAATATAAGATGCATTTGGCCAGCAAAAACATCTGTATTTGTATTTATGATGAAGATACAAATGCAACTTGTATTATGAAGATATTCATTCTCATTCATAACTTTTCTACATATATCTAGTACTGTCCAGAAAGTATCCTCCAGCCACAGCCACACTAACACCCCCATTCCCCCATTCCCTTGTTGGCCTTCCTCTTCCTCAGCCAACCATACAGTAAAGGTTTCCTTTATCATTTTACTTATGAATGGAACATAGAAAGTGTGAGGTAGTAATTCTGGGATTGCATGACACAGCATATGACACTGCTTTATATTTGTTTTATATGTATGTTCATAATAACTTAATCACCATCTTCAGTCACAAATGAGGGGTGACTGTGACTTTTTTAACTTTTCACTCTATGTGTATATAATATAACAATGAAATATGTATTTCCTGATGTGAAATGAAAAGCCAGGAATTTAAATTTGCCTTGTGAAACTTGAAGACTCAGGTATATTTTGCTGCTGGGGACAGGCAAGCTGAGGAGTTTGCAGTTCTAAACAATAACTACAATGATGCAAGAAAAGTGATTGCATAACAAACAGGTAGTAAATATTCAGTAAAAATAATCAAGAACATCCAGTATCTATTTATCAAATGGTTCAAAATCTTTGGTAAAAGCAAAGTTAACCCAATGCTGCTGAGGATGGCATGTACATATTTACCATGCCCACTGTGAGTTTATTTGATTAACTGTCTCTACACATAGATGGCTCCATAAGTACTAAGACACCAATGAGCCAATTAGGAGTACAACCTGTTTCACCCATCTATCCTTTTCCTTGATTTTTAGAAATATTTCCTGGTATTTTATATCACTGTTAGTAATGTCAATAACACTATACAATATCTATAGTAATAATAACAGCATTGATATTGATAGCATTAATCCAATGCCGCCGGGGAAAATGAACAAAAAATGGGGAAAATGCTGTGCCTATTTTCTATGATTTTCGTGAAATGTCTGCCGATAGATGGCTCTGCTAGCGCCTGATTTGAAATGGCGGGAAAAACGTATTTTTCACTTGTGCTATGAAAATCGATGGTGTTATTTTTATCATAAACATTATAATTATCGTAATGTTTTTTAACATTAACCCATTCGCCGCGGATGGCAAGAATAGATGCCATACCCACTTTGATACACGTTTATTTATTGTATTTACACCTAGATGGCTCCACAAGTTCTTAATCACCAAATAGCCAGTTATCAAGAACTACCTATTTCACCTGTTTAGCCTTTTCCTTCACTTTCGGAAAGGGTTTTTTGTATCATCTTATTGTCAAAAATATTCTAATGACAATTCAATCATCATAACATCAGTAACAATAATAACAGCATTGAAAGCAATGATATTAATTTTCCCGCCAATTCAATGAATGGGAAAATCAGGGTCGGTAACTAGGGCCTACTGATAGACTCCTTGCCGGCTGAGTACATGTGGAGCCATCTGTAGGTAGCAAAATTCACCAAAACCAACAGGGGACAGAACATAAATCCGTGGCCAATGGGTTAAGATAAGATAACGTAAATTATTTCGTAAATCAAAGAAAAGGGTAAACGGGCGGGGCGGACAGGACTCGTAACTGGCTCATTGGCGATTTAGTACAAGTGTTGCCATCTATCCATAAAAACAATCAAACAAGTACTCACAGTGGGCATAGCACGTACGTACACGTCATACCCGTCGGCAATGGGTTAATAAAAAAAAACAACTCTTTTCTGTAAACTCAAGGAAAGGAGAAATTAGGTGAGGTCACAGGGTCTACTATTTGACTCTTTTGTAGCTAATCACGTAGAGTCACTTATGTGCGACGACATTTATCAAAATATTACTACAGTGATCACTACATATTACATGTTAAGGATATATAAAAACTATGTACACTCCTTTCACTTTTTTTAATAACAATAGGAGAAACTATCAGTAAGCTACCGCATATGGGGAACATCTCAAAACTTATAGGAAAGTCCTAACAGCAATTCTTAAAGAATAAGTAACAAACCTTCTAGTCATCATTTCCCACAATCAACAAGAAAGAGTCCAAAATCAATAACAAACAAAATGTACATGAAAGAAACTCTTGAATAGAAAATGAACCATCACTGTCACTTACCTGGCTCCAGTTGTCAGCCAACCCCTGGCCCAGGTGACGAGACAGCTGATCCCCAAAGGTGAACATCGGATTGGTTTCCAGGAACTCTGCTGCCTCTGGGGTGGTCAAAGGGCAGAAACCATAGAGATTAACTCACACCCATCATATTCCCCTTAAAATGGCACCTTGTACAACTCTTTCGAAAATCTCATCCATAAAAAATTTTGTTCCTCAAATTAATGTATATAAATATGGTATAGAAAACAACAACCCAAGGAGAAAAGGAATATGTAGGAGACAAAAAAAAAAGTTTTAATTAACTCTACTCACCTCCTCCCCCACACGACACCAACGCAGCACACACATTAAATCCCGTCTCCCTCACAAAACGGTTAGTGTGTGTCAGGGCCGTGAATATCAAGTCCAGCAAGTCCTTTGTGAGGAAAATTTTGATAACAATAAGAATAAAAATAATGATAATGTTGATGATGATGATGATGCTATGATAATGTAGCAAGAGGAGGAGGAGGAGGAGGAGGAGGAGGAGGAGGAGGAGGAGGAGGAGGAGGAGGAGGAGGAGGAGGAGGAGGAGGAGGAGGAGTAGCAGTAGTAGTAGTAATATTAAAATTAATTTTAAATTTATTTAAATTTAAATTTTAATTTTAATTTTAATTTTAATTTTAATTTAAATTTAAATTTTAATTCTAATTCTAATTTTATTAATATTTATATTAATATTAATAATAATAATAATAGTAATGATGATAATAATAATAACAATAAGAAGAAGAAGAAGAAGAAGAAGAAAATTTTTTTTTTATTGTTGTTAATATTAATATTAATATTAATATTAATATTAATATTAATATTAAAATTAATATTAATATCAATAATAATAATAATAATAATAATAATAATAATAATAATAATAATAATAATAATAATAATAAGAAGAAGAAGAAGAAGAAGAAGAAGAAGAAGGATTGTTATTGTTGTTATTATTATTATTATAATAATAATAACAATAATAATAATAATAATAATAATAATAATAATAATAATAATAATAATAATAATAATAATAACAATAAACTATTATTATCATCATTATTTTTACTATTATTATTATTATTATTATTATTATTATTATTATTATTATTATTGTTATTATTGTTATTGTTGTTATTGTTGTTATTGTTGTTATTGTTGTTATTGTTGTTGTTATTATTATTATTATTATTATTATTATTATTATTATTATTATTATTATTATTATTATTATTATTATTATTATTATTATTATTATAACTATAAATATAAATATAAATATAAATATAATCATAATAATAATAAAAATAAAAATAATAATAATAATAATAATATTAATAATAATTATTATTATTATTATCATTATTATTATTATTACTATTATAACTATAAGAATAATATTAAGGATGAAAAGGATAATAATATTATTGATAGTAATACAGTCAATGCAAAAAGAAAAAAAACCTAGCCCATTATAACCCAATGCTGGTTTGAATTTCCCACCCTACAGTTTGAGCTACAGCTTTACCAGTGACATCTGGTAAAGTGCCTAGACCAGCAGTATGGGATGCACATGAGAAATAGGCTTGGTGCCAACACCACCAGAAAGGAGATAAGTTGATGCCCTGGCTAATTCCTCTTCCATTTACTAACATTTTGAGTTAGCATTTCTTACCATGTATTTCTTTATATAATGACCAAATATGGGTCGCAAAAACATGACAAAGGAGGAAAAGACCTGCATTTTAGCCTGGAGGCAAGAAAAAGTGCCTGATAAGGCCTACAGGAAGGGCAAAGTTAAAAATAATATTACTGATTACTGCCGCATTTCATCACACGATGTTCCTCCAATAAAACTTTACCCTTAATGCCCAAGGAAGACTTCCAAGGCTACTGATAAGTTTCTTGCAAGAGAACTATATATAAAAGCTCATGAAATTCAACCAAAACCTCTTCAGCAATGTATCCACCTGCTGCATCCAACACTGCCTGCAGAAAGACCTCAAGCTGCCTGTCTGCTATGCTGTATGCAAACCTCTGCTGACGGAGTGAATGAAGAAAGAGTAAGTGAACTTTGCAACTATATCCACTAGACAACTGAAGACTGGAGGAAAGTGATTTGGTCAGATAAATCCACATTTCGATGCATCCAAGGTTGTTCTGCCACAGTAAGGCAGCCGGCATCAGTCAGCAAATTCAGTACCACCTACACAGTTCACAACATGAAGCACCCAAATCTGTCATGATATGAGGATGCTTCAATGGTTTAATAAGCCATGGATATCTGTATTTCCTCCCCAAAAATGGAACAATGAATTCTGATGCCAACATTCAAAATCTTGAATACCATCTCCTGCCCTCACAGGAGTCGAAGCTGCACCAACACAACAACAATAATGATGGTGATGATGATGAGGAAGCCTAGGAACAAGGAAATGTTTTAGCTACAAGTTTATCATTCAGATTAGGAGTCAGGCTGGCTATAGCATGGGTTACACCCAAAGGAATATTATTGAATTATAGGATGAATCCACACACAGTGCAATAAAAGGACAGTGGAATACATACACCTTGAAATACCAAACAAACAGTTCCATAGAGAAGTCCAAACACTACTTTATGAATCTGAGAAATTTCATAATAACACTAACAGTATAAAAAAAAGAACTCCAACCAGCTTGAACATGGTAATTAGAATGTAGCAAGCACAGTTTAGGATAAAAGTACGCAATATTACTACAGCAATGTGAACATTGCTGGTTGATCCCTTTCTGTAAGTGTGTCCACCTTAGTGGTTCTTCCATACAGTTCTTCAATTCTGAGCATATCCATTGCAGCTACAACAACACTGATAGAAAATAATGAAGTTGGAGATATATGTACAAAAGCCTTGAAATACATATATATTTTGTATAGTTAATTCATGATATAAGACTAAAAATTAAATACTCATACCAACAATTCACAAGAAACTCAAAGAAATAAATCTGATGAATTTACTCTTCTCTAAAATTTCACAAAAAAAAAAAATATATCATAAAATTACCTGATCAATATAAGGAAGGAACTTTGGAGCACAGCCATTGATCATATGTTCAAGGCATTTCATGTTAGTCTCCAAGTTACGCCACCCAGCTGTGTCATGGAAGATCTGAGCTGCATCGCCACTATTTCTCTATTTTGTGGGAGAGAGAAAAAAAAAAATCTATTTTTTTCCTAATAGAGCAGAATACAGATATTATTGGGAAAGGTGCAAAGTCCAGTTACTCCATAACATTCCTGAATGCCTCATGACTGTTGAAAAAATTACAAATGCATGCTGTGGATATCTCTAATACAAATTGGTTATGGTAGTTACATCATAGTCATGGCCCATTTATGTAGTTAATTCATAAAAATAATCCACAAACAGAAATACTTCAGTAACAGATAAATGCAAAGTTCTCTAAAGCAAATACCTACATGTACATACAATACATCAATAGCTACTAAATTACAATAGTCTATGATCATCTTATCATATTTAACACTAGAGGATTTCAATAAAAAAAGCCTATTTACTTTTCACAAAAATATAAACATACATCATAAATATGCTTTTCAGTACAATACAATGTTAAAAATGATGCAGGATCACAAAAAACTCACATGTCAAGAAAGAAATTTTAATCTCAAAACTGCATCTTTTAATTTCGTATTACTTTCAAACATAATTTGGCCAAGATCATGAATAACAGGACTATTGAATGTTAAACTTGCACATATCAACCTAATTGCAACAGCAGCCACTATAACCATACTGAATAACATTCAGGTTGCATATGGAATTAGCTGACTGAGGGAAAAATCACATGGACGGAAAAATAGAAAACAACCCCGCTCCCTATGGTCTTGGCTGCATTGACAAGGATATTTCTCCTCTGGCCGAACAAGTATGTAACTGCTCAACCTCACAGAATGCAAAGAGTCAATCCGGTGTGAGGAGAAGTCTACCATGACATGATTGGACCTTGTTCTAATGTGAGAGTTAAGGGATTACATTCCATTTCTTTATTAATTATATTCTCAATATGTATACTTTGTTTGAAGACGGTGAAGCCAAATAAAAAAATAAAAAAACTTTATAATAAAAACAGATTTGCAAAATGTATTCAGTAAACATCCTCCCAATCTTATTTAAATTACCTCTCTGGTACAAGAAAAAACAAGAGTTTCATGAAATTACAAATCTGTGATGAAAACTCACCCTCTCTCTCGTTCCTGCTGTTAGCTTCTCCATCAGCTGCCTTGTGCTTTCATGTTCAGTTCTCGAGGCATCATCATCAGTCATTTGCCGTTCTAAATTACTGCGCACTAGCTCTAAAACCTGTGACCGGCATGAAGCATACGTGACCCCTCCATCTTGTTGGCACAGAGCACCTAGCACCTCACCTGATAATAAAACAGTAGTGCACTTAATGAAAGTAACCTTGTTTAGGCACAATCAAAATAAATAAGATCAGTCTCATCTGAGAGAGGTGCTATGTGTTCACAAATGAGAGCAAATCTATTCAGGCAATAGGAAACCAAATCTCCAGTTTTCTTTAATAACACTGATAATAATAAGAATAAAA